GCATTGTGTGTGTGGTTTTTTTTTTTTTTTTTTTTTTTTGTTTGTTTGTTTGTTTCCGTAGATGCCTTTACTTAGGTTCAGTTCCCTTCTGTTTAAGAGTTTTTTCAAGAATGCGTTTTGGATTTTGTTAAGTACTTTTTCTGTGTTTATTAATAATCATTTACTTTATATATGTGTATTTTGAAGGAAGGTTTCTTGTAGACAACATATAGGTGAGATGTGTTTTGTGATCACATTAACAGTCTTTTTTTCAATTGGTATATTTATACCATTGACATTAAAATAATTGGTATAGTTGGATTAATGTCTACCATATTTATTATTGTTTTCTATTTGTTGTCTTTGTTCTTTGTCCCTATTTTTGTCTTTCACACTTTTTCTGTCTTTTGTGGTTTGAGTTGGGCTTTTATATGATTCTGTTTTCTTTCTTAACATATCAGTTATACTTTATTTTTAAAAACTTTAACATTTCTTACTTATTGGTTGATTTTTAGGGAGAGAGGAATCGTGGAGGGGAGAGAATGAGAAACATTGATTTATTGTTCCACTCACTGTACATCCATTAGTTGCTTCCTGTATGTGTCCTGACTATTAGGGACTTACCCTGCAACTTTGGCACATTGGAATGCCACTCCAACAAAATGAGCTACCCGGCCAGGGCTTAAAACTTTTTTTCAGTGGTTGCCCTAGAGTTTACGTTACACATTTACAACTAATCCAGGTTCACTTTCAAATAAGACTATACCACTTCACAAGTAGTGCAAAAACCTTATAATAAGAAAACAATTCTAGTTCCTTCATCCATTGCTGCCATTCATTTCACTTAGATAAGCACATAAATGAGATATAGCATACATAATTGAACACATTGTTGCTATTATTTTGAACAAACTTGTCAGATCAATTCAGAATAAATTAAAGTTTCTATTTTTAAGTCATTAAATATGATGTTCTTTTTTTTTTTTTTTTTTAAATATAGATTGTAGTTTCTGACCTGTGTTATTTACCTTCTTAAGAACTTCTTTTGGCATTTTTTTGCAAGACAGGTATAGTGGCAACACATTTCTTTAATATCTGTTTATCTGAAAAAGCATTTCTTCACCTTTGAAAGATAATTTTGCAGGATACAGAAATCTAGGTTCGTAGTATTTTTCATTCTCAATATATATTTTTTTAAATTGATTTTGTGAGAGACAGACATTGAATTGTTGTTCTACTTATTTATGCATTCATGGGCTGATTCTTGTATGTGCCCTGACCAGGAATCAAAATTGCAACCTTCCTGTATCAGGGGTACCAGTCTTTCAACAGTTTAAATATTTGATTCCTCTCTGTTTTTGCTTGCTGAGGAGAAATGAGATGTAATTTATTGTCATGTTTTCATCCCCTCTGCCTTCTTTCAGGAATTTTCTTTGTCTTTTCTATATTTTGTAGATGATATGCCTAGCTGTAATTTTTTCTGGCATTTATGCTGCTCAATGTTCCTTGATCTTCCTGGTTTAGTATCTGATATTAATTTGGAGAGATTCTTAGTTGTTATTGTTTTCGATACTTCTGTTCCTTTTTTCTTTCTTGTCCTTCTGATATTCCCATAATGTATGTTCTAACTTTTGTAGTTGTCTTTACAGTCTATGGATATCCTGTACTTGTTATTTATTTATTTATTTATTTTTAGTGTTTTTTTCTCTTTCCTTTTTGGTTTTTGAGGATTTTATTGATATAACTTCCAACTCAGAGAGTCTTTCCTTATCTGTGTCCTGTCTGAATTATAAGCCCATCAAAGGCATTCTTCGTTTTGTTTTTTATCTCTAGCATTTCTTTTTTATTTTTTCTTAATCCTCTTTCTGCTAACATTGCCTACTTGTTCTATGCATACTGTCTATCTATTAGAGTCTTTAGCATATTAATTATAGTTGTTTTAAATTTCAGGTTTGGTGACTCCATTATCCTTGCCATGCATATTTCTGATTATTCTTGATCTTCAAATTGTGGTGTTTGTTTTTGCCTTTTGGTATGATGTTTACTTTCTTCTTCTTTTTAATAGCCAGGCTTGTTATACTGGATAAAAGGATTGGTTTTACTAATGAGTTGTCAGGGGAGTCCTATGGTCCATATCTCATTCATTTAGTGAGCCTATGTCTCTGGACTATCAACTTCACAAGTGTTTCTTTTTTTCTTTTTAATTTTTTTTTTTAGCTTCATATCAAACCTTTATTTGAGCACTATGAACAGACAGCTAAAAAAATAGTAGAAGACCAAATGGTTTGTGTAAGCTAGAGTTACATGTTTTCCTTCCCCAGGTCAGTTAATCTCTGATCATAAAACCCTGCAGGTTAGGCTCTGGTTTACTAGTTTCTCAGAGGACAGGCTTTGTTAATTAAAGTTATAGTTCTCTGGCATATTTCAAAATTGTTTCTTTTCCTTCAGTCTGCTGGAAGTCTAAGGAAAATTCTCTCTGGTACTTATTGTGCACTTGTGTTCCCCATTCCCATTGTGACTGAGTCCCCCTGGAGTTAAAGGTCTCAGAGTTGTCTGAACTCACTGAACCTCTAGCAATTTGTCAGTTGCAATGCAGGTGTTCCTATTCAATACTGGTTCTGGTGGTGATTTTGTTTTAAGTTCCTGTTTTGGTAAGCTGTGATATGACCTGTATTCGCCTGTCTTTCCAGTCTTGGAGGGCGTGGTTTGCTCTTGTCCTTCTTCTCTGATGGACCCAAGAACTCCTGATTTTTCGGTCTGGTTAGCTTTATACTTGTTGTTAGGGTGGAGTGGTGACTCCAAGCTCCTTTCATGTGGAACTGGAAACCTGCTTGTACTAATTTAAACAAAGCATTTGAGCCCTTAATGTGTGTAGAATGTCATAATACCGGGAAAATTGGATGAGATCACTAAGAGGCTCCTTTGGAGGCCCTGTGTGAAATACTTATTTTAAAATGGATTACAAATTCAAAGACTTCTAGGAGCCACCTCCAGGGGTAGTAGTTTGGTTACAGGACTATGTAGATAGATAAACTATGGTGCTCATCTAAAGGAGTTGTACTTACTGATGGCCTACTATTTTCCAGTTACCTTTACATAAGCAATCAGGAAACTGCGATTTTAAACAAAAATCTACATTGGTTGAATATTTATAGAAAAATTAGTTGGCTCAGCAAATGTGTCAGTGACTGTGTCATTTTGTTGATTATAATACCATATGGCCACTGTTCTGTTTTCTTATAAACCCTTCTCTTTCTTTTCTTAAAGAAATGTTTTCCATTTGGATTAAGAAATATTGTGGAATTTGACAAGAATAACCGTGTCCTTTAGAATAAGCAAACTTGATATAGCTGAGTCTGAAAATGGGACCTGTCTAGTTGCAAGGGCACTGACTCTAAAATCAAGAGTCCTGTGACAATTCTGGCCATGATTTGTTTGTGTCTTTGGGTGAGCATGCACCTCTTTGGTTCTTAATGTTCTGTTATATACATGGGAATTTAAAATCTTCCTAAAAAATTTCCTGAAGTGCTTCTATAAGATGCTTTATGATAGAGCCTGGCTTAGGACAAATGCTCAATAAAAATGTTTTACAAATTTTAATGCTGAGCCTTTTCTGGTTGGTCTCACCACTTTCGTTGAGACTCAGAACTTTGAAGATGAACCCTAGAATTCTGTGGAGAAATCCAAGCTGGGTATATTTTTGTAGACACCATTAATCTCCAAACCAGGCATTAATTAAAACTCATGAAGTTCACCTTAAGTGACTTCCTCTCGGATCCTGAATTGTTATTCACCTGCACACACTTTTTGGTTTATGTGTATTTCTTATCTACTTTGCTTTTTTGTTTAAAAGGAGTTGGGGGTGGGGGGTGACAAAAGAAAAGGCTTCACGTTCATTTTATAAAAGGCCTTACATTCTTTTTATGTAATGTAAAAAACATGCCAATATTGGGAATATATATTTATATATTCAATATAATTTATTACTCTGCTTTACATACCGGTAGTTGTTTTAAAGATTAGTTTTTAAGTTGATTTTTGGAAAGAGGAAGGGAGCTGGAGTGGGGGGCAGAGAAACATTGATCATCTGCCTCCTGCACACCCCTTATAAGGAATCGAGCCTGCAACCCGAGCATGTGTCCTGACCAGGAATCAAATGAGCAACATTTTGGTGCATGGGGTGACGCCCAACCAACAGCCACACCAGCCAGGGCTGCTTTACATTTTGATAGGCCTTTTGGTCTTATCTCTATTTTACTAGTTTTAGGAATTCACAATCATTGCTCCCTGGTCATCAGTCACTGGAGCAGTATCAGTGGCATGAAAGTTGTTGCTACTGTATCATTTCAGGCTGTGTCTCCACAGGAGGTGTAAGAGCTGCCATTCCTGATGAAGAACTGGAAAACCTTCTATTCCAAAGCATATGTGTCTCCTCCCCTCCCCCCCCCCCCCCCCCAACCCTGATGTGTAACTCTTGGCCTAAGGTGCCTTAATAATTTTCTAGACTTCTATTTGGCACCAGAATCATTTCTTCAATGATTTTTTTTTTTTTGTGGCACTTTATATGATAGGCAAATCTGGGAACCCCAGTTTTTTTAAGGGGTGAGTTTCAGATGGGAGAGTGGGGAATATTCTCTAAGGGCAAGAATCTCCACAGTACAGAGTAGAAAGCCACTGCAGTCTCCATGCATTTTGTGTTTTCTGATTCTTGGTGCTCAGGTCCTGGTTCACACGCATGAATTTTAATGGCTTCACTGACGGTTCCTCTGCTTTTGCTAGCAGTGTCCTATCGGCGGTTAAAAGCATTCCCCAGATAACGTTTGCGCTAAAGTTTCTTTTCAGCTTGCTGCATTGCCCTTGTGGAAGTCATGGCACTAATAGAATTTAATCTTAATACAAAAGCAACAGAATCGAAGAGGTGTTAGCGATGATGTAGGCTCTCATGTGTGGGATGCTTTTTCCACTCTTCAACAAAGCTCCTTAAGAACGAGTCTTGAGTTCTCCTGTTCTGTAACCAACAGGAGGACTCACAAACGGCAGTGGAAGATACATCTCTGCCGCTCCCGGCGCGGAAGCCAAGTACCGCAGTGCGAGCAGCGCCTCCAGCCTCTTCAGCCCTAGCAGCACCCTTTTTTCTTCCTCCCGTTTGCGATATGGAATGTCTGATGTCATGCCCTCTGGCAGGAGCAGGCTTTTGGAAGATTTTCGAAATAACCGGTACCCCAATTTACAACTGCGAGAGATTGCTGGGCATATAATGGAATTTTCCCAAGATCAACATGGGTCCAGGTGAGGACTTGGCTTTGGCACTTAAGGTAACTGAAATTTTAATGCCTTAAATCCCATTCCTCAAATACGTATACACTGAGTAAATTGCTATAAAATAATTGAAGCAGTAGCTTCTTAGTGTACTTTCCATTATTTCAGAGAAACGTGGCATTGTGAAGGTCACCCGATACACAAGTGATTGAAAAGAGCCATTTAGAAATTGAAGTTGGGATCACATGAATAAAATAAACTTTCTTTTTCAAACAAGCCTTTTTACCTTTCTGAAAGATTAGCCTGATGTTTCTAGTTTACCAGAACTTCACAGAATGGCTACAATCTAAGAAACAAACGCTACCACAAAGACATATATCCGCACATGTTTGCTAATTGAGTCCCTATTAAGAGCTACTCAGATACAAGTTTGGACCTCTGCTGCTCAGGATTAATACAACTCCATCACTTTGTTGTTGTTGTTTTATTCAGTGGAAGTGAGAGTCTGCATAGAGGTGAGAGAAACAGCTCTTACAAAACGGAATTTAGCTTGTGGGCCTCACAGAAGGGACTCTGGTCCTGGGGAGAAAGCATGTTTATGATGTTGCCCGTCCTTTTCTATTTGTCTTCATTTCTCTTTCTCTCTGACTGTGCCCACTGAAACAGCTTCTAAAAAACCTATTTTCTCTCTAAGTTCTGCCAGCTTGCTACTGGGCAAGGGTTTCTCATATTTGGATCCTGTAGACCAGATTGAGAGACAACATGATTTTTCTGATAATCACCTGAATCAAAGAATTGTTATTTAGATTGGCAGATTGAGTAGCTACTACTTCAGAACACCCTGCAGACATTTATAACAACTGTTCCACATCCTTAATGAGTATTGAGGTAAATAATACAGCAAGGTCCATAAACTTTGATCCTCTTAATGCGGGACTAGTTTCTAAAGGAAAAGTTCTTTTGTTATGCCCATCTTCACCCTCCCCTCTCCCTATTTCTCCCTTTCGTCTCTTTCCCTCAAACCCACATATAAATACAATTTTGTACGTATGTCCTATTGTAATGAATATGCTCACACTTAAATCTACATTTAAAAGCTCAGTTATGTTAGGGTATACTTCACACTATAAACATTTTTTCCTTTTTAGTGATTCTTCAATTAAGTGAGCTCAAGGGATTCATTTAAATAACAGTTGTATTTGTACACCCATGTGCACCTACACCTGTGTAAATGTACACACATATATTTTCAGAAGTGATTCATTATACAAATTGGGCTAATTATTTATTCCAAGCCTTTCTAAAATGCTGTGATTGCCCTTTTTACTTTGCACTTCAGATTTATTCAGCTGAAACTAGAGCGGGCCACACCAGCTGAGCGCCAGCTTGTCTTCAATGAAATCCTTCAGGCTGCTTACCAGCTAATGGTGGATGTATTTGGAAATTATGTCATTCAGAAGTTCTTTGAAGTAAGCCTTTGTACTTTCCATCCTTTGACGTTAGAGAATCTCCAGAGCTTTTTGATTTTCATTAGCTGTTTTTAGAATTGCCATCCCATTCCAGTCTTCAAAATGAAATGTGTGTGGGCTTTTACATTTTTTAAATGTTTTCCAATTCATTTGGAGCAGATGATGCCAGTCTAATTTAGAAATGTGTATGGAGAATCATTGTCCCCATTTAGGATCTCTAGTATGTTATTTCTGATTGTTAAATAGTTTCATTTTTTTTACACCCATGTACACCCATTATTTGTACACCCATGTGCACCTACACCTGTGTAAATGTTATTTTTTTGAGGAAGTAATTCTTGTAAGATAATTTTAGCAAGTCCACAATAAAGTGTTCTAAAAAATGAAAAGTTTTTTTTAGGATTCCTATAGAATTACCTTTGAACACCAACTCCACTGTTTTTCATCATAAACTATAGTCTGAAGATTGTTAAACACTTACTGGGTCATCCTTTGACCTTGGTTTCTTAATTTTCCCCCATGAATGTCCACCTCTGTTATCATTGTCTTTGGAAAGGATGAGTGAGGTTGTTCGCTTAGGTCTGTTCCCTTAGTTAACTAACCTCTCAGAAAGGCAGGGATTCTTGCCTTACCATTATAGCCCTGGTGCACTGGACCAACAACTCCCAGCTGTAAATCCAGAAAGAAATGAAACATTGAGGTGAGGAAATGAGTACAAGGGAGAAGTACTGGAATTGTACAGTATTTGCCACAGAACAAAATAAAATTTTTAACTTATTATTTATGATTTTGTTTGATTTATGTGAAGATTTAAAAAGGGTCACTCATAGCTTCTATATTCCTAACTTGTCTCTTAAAGACTTAAGTTCTTTGACACTTAATTCTCCAGCTATAGACTAAGAGACCAACCTACACATGACTTGTAATTTTGATTTAGAATTATCTTTTCATAGATAATTTTTCATAGATGATTTTTTGTCATAGGTAGAAAAATATAGGGGTCTCCAGTTCCAGATCTCTGCAGCCAATGGTGGCTGAATGAACAGTGGATTACAGCCATGTGGTTTGGGACAAGCCAGATAAAGGTCCCTGAATTAGAGAAAGTGGACATTAGTTCCCTTGTATAGAAAATCAGTGGGTTGGGCATAAAGTCTCTTCAGTCTGATAATTATGCTATTCAAACAAAACTAAAAAGCTAGGATGGAAAATCATCCTAGGAAGAGTTTTAATTTTTTTTAATAAAATATATTTTATTGATTTTGTATAGAGAGGAAGGGAGATAGAGAGTTAGAAACATCGATGAGAGAGAGTCATCAATCAGCTGCCTCTTGCACACCCCCCACTGGGGATATGCCTGCAACCAAGGTACATGCCCTTGTCCGGAATCGAACCCAGGACCTTTCAGTCCCCAAGCCGACGCTCTATCCATTGAGCCAAACTGGTTGCTGCAAGAGTTTTAATATTATGCAGCCTTACCTTTTGATTTTCTTTTTCTCCCTGACTCGATTTCATTGTATAATAGATGATACATATCAGTTCTTGGAATGATATTGAACAGTAATTCAAAACAGAGTGCCCATATGTGCTTTGGCTTAAATTTCATATAGATGAAAGAACTTTTCAATCCCTGGACCTCAGATACCTAAAGTACAGTTGATTTTCTGTAAGAAGTCTTTGAATCTTCCCCAGACATTGTGTAAAGCCCTAATGAACACTGTCTACCACATGTATTATTATTTTAGAGTAAACATAAATGCTCTGGTAATCAATCTAGTATAGATATATTTAATGGTACTAATAAATTAATGGCAGCTTTGATGAATTACATATTTTTGTTTGGCAGATATTAATAGTGAAACCACTACTATTGATAACTGATAAATTTGTTAAAATTAAAAAGTTCCTCATAATCAGAGACTGAAAATTATTCTCTTGAATAAACAAATGCCACATATATAAACACACAAATTTCAGAAGGGGAGAGAGAAACAGTGAATCATTGATTAGCTGTGTCCTGCATGCCCCCTACTGGGGATTGAGTCCGAAATCTGGGCGTGTGCCTTTGACTGGAATTGTACCTGGGACCCTTCAGTCCGAAAGATGACACTATCCACTGAGCCAAACTGGCTAGGCAAAAACATAGACTTTAAAAAAAAAAAAAAAAAGATTTTAATCATAGGTCACCAGGCTAAAGAGGTATACCAATGGTTTTATACAGAATAACGAATGCTTTGCTTTCTCTGGTTTCTTTCCTTCTACCTAAGTAATGGTGTTCACCCAAACATTATGTCTAGTTTGGCAGCCTTGAACAGAAGCTGGCTTTGGCAGAACGGATTCGAGGTCATGTCCTGTCATTGGCACTGCAAATGTATGGCTGCCGTGTTATCCAGAAAGCTCTTGAATTTATTCCCTCAGACCAGCAGGTAATTGTAAGTTTCCACTTTAACTTTTCTCTTGGTGTTTGATGTTTCTCCATGGCACATGTAGTGAACCTCCTGAACTTGCCAGCTTTTAGTTTTCTTTGGTGCTTGTGGCTGCCGTTCTGTGCATGGCAAGCATGAATTGTGCAACTTGTAAATTTATAGTAGATCAAGTGTCTTGTGTTAAAACCATTGGTTTCAAACACTCTTCAACAGTCTTTAGTAGGTGCAATTTTACAGGTGGGTTTTTATTTGGCAAGAGTTGAAGGCTGTAAAATACTAGTAACTTGTCATTTTCTTCAGCCTGAACTGACATTTCAGCAAATCAAACTTTATTCCAAACCACCTTCCATTTTCCTTCATTTACTCTCTCTTATTCATCCACCACACCACCATTTACCCAGTGAGTGTCTGCCCAGTGCAGTGCGCTAGCCTGGCACATTGACCTGAGGCCCGCTTTGTGCCTAGCACAGTGGAGAAGAGTGATGGGAAGCAGTAGTGAGAGCACATGCCCTGAGTCTTTGAAGGAAGGCTTAAAAAAACAACTCACCAGAGGATATTTAAAAAAAAAATTTTTTTTATTGCTTCCAGAGAGGAAGGGGGAGGGAGAGAGAGAGAAACATCAAGGATGAGACAGAATTATCGGCTGCCTCTCGCACGTCCCACACTTGGGAGCAAGCCCCTCATTGGGGTTTGAGCCCGCAACCTGGACATGTGTTCTTGACTGGAATTGAACGGCTGCTGTTCAGTTCTTTCTGTAGGACGATGCTCTATCCACTAAGCAACACTGGCTAGGAGTTCCTTTAAATTTTAGAGAGAATGGAAGGGAGGGAGGGGAGTGTGACAGAGAGAGAAACATTGATGTGAGAGAGGTATATTGCTTGGTTACCTCCTGCATTCACCCGATGGGCTAGCAATCGAACCTGCGACCCTTTGGTGCTTATGCCAAACATTGGCCAAGGCTGAAGGAAGGCTTTGCATGAGGAGAAGTCCACTCTAAAGAGGAGTCAGACGGGAGAAGAGAACAGGGACAGAAATCTAAAGTGTTGGGTCCTGTGAGTGGGAGCTGACCGAGAAAGCACCTGCAGAGGCCAGTGGTTCAGGAACAGTCACAGAGCAGGCCCGCCAGCCCCACAGAGACCACAGGGCCCAGGCAGCCACACTAACCCCCAGGTAGGGGCGCTACGGCTGCGCTTGTGCTGCAAGCCTTGGGGTGCCTCTGGTTTGGACCCTCAGCCTTTGGACTGTGAACTCACTCAGCCCTTCTCAGTGGAAGGGGGTGCCCTGGTCTGGCAGTGATGAGCCACTTGCCCTCACTGAGAACAAAGTTCAGTGACGAGAATCTTTGTTATGGACTCGAGTTCTGAGCCAGACGAAGCACCCTCCTCCTCCAGTTCAAAGCAGAACAAAACACAACGCCGTATTGGTGTTGGTGACGGCAGTTGGAGGCAGAGGAGTCCAAAGTCCTTATGCTGTGAGGCTCCTGGAAATGTGGGCCCGGAGGTGAAGGCAGAGGGAACATTGGAGCTTGTTCATTCAGTGCCTAGTGTTGGAGATGCTGCAGTGACGCGGTGTGTAAGTAACTAGAAGCAGGGTGAGGCTGCTACCAGTAGTTTCCTTCTAATGTTCAGATTATTACAGTTTTAATTTTACCTGGGATTTTCAGGGATAAGAATGTCATGATCAAATATCTCTTTAGTTTTTTTAACATGGAAGTTTCTTTCTGTTATATATATATTTTAACAACCTTAAAGCCCATTTACTGAAAGATACCAGGAATATTATAGTTTCTTGGCTATTTTTTCCATCTTTGCGCTCTCTCATGATTGTGATAACTTGTTGGACTCCCAACTTTTTTTTTTTTTAATATATTTTATTGATTTTGTACAGAGAGGGAGAGACATAGAGAGTAAGAAACATCGATGAGAGAGAGTCATCGATCAGCTGCCTCTTGCACACCCCCTACTGGGGATATGCCCGCAACCAAGGTACATGCCCTTGACCGGAATCGAACCCGGGACCTTTCAGTCCCCAAGCCGACGCTCTATCCATTGAGCCAAACCGGTTTCGGCTGGACCCCCAAATTTTCAGATTTTGTTTTCTGATTGGATCCCAACATTATAGTAGTTTTCTACCACCCTTCCCATTCCCCCAGCTGTTGTCCTTTCTACCCTGCATTTCTGTACATCTTGTCCTGGTCTGTTTCTCTGTGATAACTTGTTCTGGGTCTGAACTCCTCCTCCTGCTATGGATAATTTTTTGTTTTCCAGATACAAGTTTATTATTTTGTGTGAAATTATTTAATCTCTAGTGGTTTCTTTGGGCTCAAGAAAATATTTAGGGAAGCCACCTCCCTTCATTTCCATGATAAGTCTTTGCTTTATATAGACATCATTCTCTAATTATTCCTATAATTGCATTTCCAGGATAAAGTTGGGTTTTGTTTTGTTTTGTTTTGTTTTTTGTTTTTTGGTGTGTGTGTGTGTGTGTGTTTGACATTTGATTGCTTTAGAAAACTTTCCCAATTTTCTTGCCTTTTGCTTCTCTTTGGTATTGTAACCTTGCTTTTTTTTTTTTTTTTTAATTAGAAGAATCTCTTAGATGCCTTGACATATTAAACATCTCTGGAATTTAAGACATTGCATTCATAAATGTCACCATTTTAAATTGGCTTGTAGCCTTAAATATAGAGACATTATACTGGAGCTAATGCTTAGAGATTGGGTATAGCAAAGGAATTGGATAGCGAGTTCCAGGCTCCAGACATGGGTGGTGCAGGTATTCAGCTTTCAGATAAATGAGACCTGAGGCAGCAAGTTTGGGGGAAGGTGTCTAGTCAAAATCTCATCATTCCGTTTTCTATACCCTGGTCATCTCCCTCATAACCTCACACAAACCCCTCAATGCCTGTCCTGCTCTTGTGTTCCCTAAGTTTGGACACTTTTCATCAGTTAATTGAGAGCACTGTTGCTGCTGCTGATATTGCAGTCACTGTGGTCTGGTGGAAGTGTGTCGGCACCACAGACCTGGGCTATAATTCTGATTTGTCACTATCTATAGTTTTAAATATCTTGCTTTGAGATTTAATTTCTTTTTTTTAAAATTAATTTCTTTCTTTTTTTTAATATATTTTATTGATTTTCCACAGAGTGTAAGGGAGAGGGATAGAGAGCTAGAAACGTCAATGAGAGAGAAACATCGACTAGCTGCCTCCTGCACACCCCCTACTGGGGATGTGCCTACAACCAAGGTACATGCCCTTGACCAAAATAGAACCTGGGACCTTTCAGTCTGCAGACTGACGCAGTATCCACTGAGCCAAACTGGTTTCGGCTTAAGTAATTTCTTAATCCTCACCTGAGGACCTTTTCCCATTGATTTTGAGAAAGAGGGAAAGATAGAGAGAAATATCGATGTTGAGAGGAACACATCGATTGGTTGCCTCTTGCACGATGCCTGACCAGCGCCTGGGCCGGGGGAGGAGCCTGCAGTTGAGGTACACATCCTTTGACTGGAATCAAACCTGGGAGCCTTTGGTCCCCAGGCTGATGCTCAAGCCACTGAGCCGAACCAGCTAGAGCGAGATTTAATTTCTTTATATATAGGTTGCAAGGGGATCTAGATAATATATAACTGACACACACTGTTTTGTTATACACAGGAATCATATTGATTGGGCTTGAATCTTGGCAGTTTAGGTCTGTGATTTTAACAGGTCGTTTAATTTGTCTGTCTTGGGTTTTACTTTTTAAAAAAAGTATGTTTTTATTCATTTAAAGGGAGAGAGAGAGAGGGAAACATTGATAGGCTGCCTCCTACATGCAAGTCTCCACTAACCCCTCCCTTCTCCCCCCCCAAAAAAAATCGAATTGAACCTGACCTCCTGGTTCATGGGTCGATCCTCAACCACTGAGCAACACTAGTGGGCTGTCTTGGTTTTCTTATCTATAATAGTGTCTAGTCCATAGGATTATTATGAGGGTTCATTGAGTCAAAGTATGTTAAGCACTTAGAAGTATGACTAGCCTATAGTGAGCTCTAGATTAACAACTATCATTATTAATATTACATATCACAGAACTGTCATAATAGAAACATGTTGAATTGCTTGTGAAATTCATTTTATTTGAAGATGTCTATATTTAGAAAAAATATTTTTATTGATCTCAGAGAAGAAGGGAGAGGGAGAGAAATAGAAACATCAGTGATGAGAGCAAATCATTGATTAGCTGCCTCCTGCACGTCCCCCTACTGGGGATCAAGCTCGCAACCCAGGCACGTGCCCTTGACTGAAATCAAATCTGAAACCCTTTAGTCTGCAGGCCGATGGCCTATCCACTGAGCCAGACCAGCTAGGGCAAGATGTCTACATTTTAATCTCCCAGAGCTTTTTGTGAGTTAGAATAGTTTACAGGAGGTTTGTTAACGTGTGTCGTACCTGAGTTGTCCCACTTTCATTATCATGGATTCTTTCCCTCTTCAGTGCTTTTGTGTTTGGTAAGGAGAACATTGATTGTCCAGCTGTTTGCTCGCTATGATTCTGGTGGTGCTTTCTTTCCTTGTCTCCAATAGAATGAGATGGTTCGGGAACTAGATGGCCACGTCCTGAAGTGTGTGAAAGACCAGAACGGCAATCATGTGGTTCAGAAATGCATTGAATGTGTGCAGCCTCAGTCTTTGCAGTTTATTATTGATGCATTTAAGGGACAGGTAAGTGACTTGGGGAAGAAATGAGGGAACAAATTGATGTTGTATTTCCACTGTGAGCTGAGAACAAGATAGGATTTTGGAGTGTTCTCAAGTGCTGCAGTAAATTGCAGCTCTGTTCATTTGTGTCAAGTGCCTAGCTCTGTGTACCCAAGTCTCTTTCTTCCTTTAAGTGTCTGGATCATCTGTCATTACTGCAGATGTCTGCTCATATTGGGATGAGTTAGACATCAGAGTTGTTAAAGGTAAATCTCATATTTGAAGAATAGATTTTTTTCCTTTGGTTAAGTACTATTTATGTTGATATTTAAAAGTTTTGATCACGTTTTAAAAAAACAAGGTGTTTCCTGCTTAATTTTGGGGGGGATGGGATGGTGACCAGGTTTATTTGAACTGTATTAAGTGACAATATAAGTAGAGATAGCTTCAAATTTTTCTGATTTAGCTGTATGTCATAAGAGCCTATATGTGCTTTTTTTTTTTTTTTTTTTTTTTTTAAATGCAGTGGACAGTTTAAAAAATATTTTTAATTGATTTTAGAGATGGGGAGGGAGGAAGAGAGAGAAACAGGACGGGGGAGAGAAACACGCCCCTTATTGAGGGTTGAGCCTGAAATACAGGCATGTGCCCTGATCAGGAATTGGAACTGGTGACCCTTAAAAACCCTCCACAAACCCTTGTGTACTTACTCAACATTATACTATATAACTAGAGTAAACTGTGGAAGTATACAGTATTATAATTAAATATTTAAAACACATTGTTGAGTGAAATAAGTTGTTTTAGACTGTGTTTATCATATTTATAACATTATAATTGTTTAGAATCATATAGTATACCATTAAAGTATTTAGTTTTGCACATGAAGCTACGTACATAAAATCATATATAAAGCACTTAGTGCAGTGACTGATGGTAAACATTTAATAAGTGTTAGCTGTTGTTACTGTTCTTACAATTATTGTCATTATTCTTTTTCTTAAAAATTTTTATTGATTTCAGAGAGGAAGGGGAAAGGGAGAGAAAGATGGAAATATCAATGCGAGAGAACCCATTGATTAGCTGCCTCCTGCTCACTCCCTACTGGGGACTGAGCCCGTAACCCAGGGACCTTTCAGTTCACAGGCTGATGCTCTATCCACTGAGCCAAACTAGCTCAGGTTCATTTTTATATTTTCTATTTTTATTGATTTCAGAGGGGAAGGAAAAAGGAGAGAGACAGAAACAGCAATGGTGCAAATCATTGATTGGCTTTCTCCTGTACACTGCAACCTGGGCATGTTCCCTGACCAGGAATTGTGCTGTGACTTCCTGGTTTATAGGTTGACACTCAACCACTGAGCCACACTAGCCAGGCTATACTTGTTTTTAAAATCCTCACAATGAACATATTTTTTCCATTGATCTTCAGAGAGCATGGGGGAGGGGTGTGTGTTTGGGGGGGCGGGAGAGAAAGAGATAGAGATTGAGATAGAGATTGAGATTGAGATTGGTTGCAATCGCATTCCCCTCAACTGGGGCCAATGATTGAATCCACAACCCAGAATTGTGCCCTTGACCAGGAATCAGACTGCGACACTTTGGTTCACTGGCCAACACTTTTTTTTTTTTTTTAATATATTTTTATTGATATTTTTACAGAGAGGGAGGGAAAGAGATAGCTAGAAATGTCGATGAGAGAAACATCGAACAGCTGCCTCTTGGCACACCCTCTACCCGGGATGTGCCTGCAACCAAGGTACATGCCCTTGACCGGAATCGAACTGGTTTCGGCCTGGCCAACACTTTTAACCCTTTGCACTCCGCTGTCCCCTCTCAGGGGACATCGGAATTCTAGCATATCACTCAGATGTCCCCTCTCAGGGGACATCACAGTTTATTAGTGATTATGGGGAATTGAGTTAATTCAACGCACGTTTCGCAAAGTAGTGTTGAGTAGCTGGTAGCCAATGTCCAGAATGGTTCAGAGTGCAAAGGGTTAACCATTAAGCCACACCACTAGGACAATTGCCATTATACTTGACTAGAGGCCCGGTACACAAAATTTGTGCATGGGGGGGTGCGGGTTCCTCAGCCCTGCACCCTTTCACAGTCTTGGAGCCCTTGGGAGATAGCCGACTGATGGTTTAGGCCCGCTCCCCTTGGGCCTAAGCCAGCAGCCGGACATTCTTAGTGCTGCTGCGGAGGCAGGAGAGACTACTGCAGGGAGACTACTGCCACCACTGCTGTGCTCACCAGCTGTGAGCTTGGCTTTTTGCTGAGCAGTGTTCCCCCTGTGGGAGCCAGCGCACTGACCACCAGGGGGCACCCCCTGCATTGAGCGACTATGCTCTGATGGTCAGTGCCTGTCATAGTGACTGGTCATTCTGCTGTTTGGTTGATTTGCCTATTAGCCCTTTATTATATAGGATAACAGATCTGAGGTGCAAGTTTGACTAGGAAGGGCAGAATTGAGATAGGGCACCTGAAGCCTGTGTCTTAGCTTGCACCAGACCCAATAAAAGAGTTCCTCTACACCCGTTCATTTCAGAACATTGCTTTGTGATTATATGAAAGCTCTTAGGATTTGATCACAGACCTTTTTCTGTTGTTGTTGTTATGTGTTTTTTAAATTTATTCGTCTTTTACCTCTGCTCTTTGACACAGTGAACTCTTAACTGTTTTTAATGATCTTAAGTATTTTTCATCTCTGAATATTTGTATGTGTGACTTCCTAGAGTAGTTAAGAAATGGGTTTACATACATATCTTATTTGTAGAGAGAACTTAATGTAATATTTACAATTTGGGCTTTTGACTAGGACATCACATCCTGGCTCTATCATTTACTATCTGTATGACTGTATATCATGTAGACTTACAGGCTCTTCAATTTTCTCATCTGTATGCCGAGAATACTACCATGGTTATCTCTCAACATCATTGAGAAGATTAGTGGGGTTATGTATATTAATATGAAGCATTAAAGGAAGCAGGTGTCAATCTTGGCTTTCTTCTGTTTGTCTGCCCTAGGTGTTTGCTTTGTCCACGCATCCTTATGGCTGCCGAGTGATTCAACGGATCCTGGAGCACTGCCTCCCTGACCAGACCCTGCCTATCCTAGAGGAGCTGCACCAGCACACCGAACAACTTGTGCAGGTAGTGGAGTTGCCAGTAGAGTAACTGCAAACACCTGGGGGCTCGTGCAGGCCCAGAGCTTGTGTGTTTTCTCAGCACAGGTATCCGTTCCAGTAAAGGCTAATGTTAATGTGTTTAACATGCCCACTGAAGCTTTTGGGCAAGTTTTCATTTATACCAGCCTGCTTGTTGTTTTGTGAATATGGGTAGTGAATAGAGCCTGGTCCTGGAGCAAAGAGGATGTGCCTGCCAGAGCTCTGCTATGGACTCAAAAGCTATGTCCTCATGGGCAGGTCACTTAATTTGCCTGGGTCTGTTCTATCGGTTAAAACGAACTAAGTGGATGAATCGATTTCTTTCTAGCTTTGATACTTTGTCTTGCATCTACCAGTAGAAATTTCTTCCACATACTAACCATTTGTCCATTTTCTACATGTAGAATGTTATACTAAGAAAAAAAAAAAAATTTATAAGCCAGAATTTGTTTCTATTTAAAATTTCAAGAGACTTTAAAAAGGCTCAAAGGCCCAAAGATGGCCTGGAGGAGTTTGTCTGTAGGTGGTGTTTGTTTTGGTGAGAAGTATGATATTGTAAATTATTTAGTAGGCCTTGTAGAAGAATTGGAAAGTGCAGAAAGCAGCAACAAAACAAAAGAAACAATCCTTAATCCTACCATCCAGAAGCAAACACATTTGGCATTGGCCATTAAAAAAATACTATCTGTATGTGCTTAATTCTTTACATCTTTTTAAAAAATATATTTTATTGATTTTTTTACAGTCAGGAAGGGAGAGGGATAGAGAGTTAGAAACATTGATGAGAGAGAAACATCGATCAGCTGCCTCCTGCACAGTTGCTCGCAACCAAGGTACATGCCCTTGACTGGAATCTAACCTGGGACCCCTCAGTCTGCAGGCTGACGCTCTATCCACTGAGCCAAACCGGTTAGGGCAATTTTTTACATCTTACAAATAAATATTTTTGCCTCTAGAATTGCTTGTTCACATTTATTCTCTCAAAGATCTTCCACTTTAGATGAATGAGTAAATCCATCATATATTTATAATATTATTTAATAAGGCATTGTCTGTTTTGCTGGGCATAAGCTTTGTTTCAGTGTTTCTTTGTTATACATAGCAACAGTGAAATTCGTACTTCCTGTTTAAGAAAAGCATCTCTTTATCCCTTCCTCCATTTCCTCCAAATTCGAGGAGGCTTGCTTTTTTGTAAATAATATTTTATGAAGAATCCAACTAGATCTTTTGGGTATAAATATATTAGAACTATTCTATTGTATAATAGTGATGTATTCCTATTATGAGGTCATAGGAAAATTGTCTTACCTATTTAAAAATTCTTATGTGTTCATTAGTATTCAGTCATAGTTTTATAGGAAAATAGGTGTTAATTAGATGTAAGGATTTTGGTAATCCACTGAACTCATTTCTATATGAATTTTATTTCTTTTGTTGTTTCTTAAACAGGATCAATATGGAAATTATGTAATCCAGCATGTATTGGAGCATGGCCGTCCTGAGGATAAAAGTAAAATTGTAGCAGAAATTCGAGGCAATGTCCTGGTATTGAGTCAGCACAAATTTGCAAGGTATGGGCTTTGAATGATAATAGTTTTCTAAAAGAGAGGATTCAATATTTTAGGTTTAGAGAGGAAAATAGTTTTCATTCTTTTAAAATAATATTTAATTTTCTTAAAGTATGCGTAATTTAATTAAAACAGGTGGTTCTATCAAAGTATAAAACATAACAAGTCATGTAGTGGGGGTCCTCCTTTGCTTAGAGTCAGCACATAACATAAGTTTTGTTCTTCGGTAAACTGAACTTTCCTTAACTCATTTGTTCAGAACTGTGACATGTTCTTTATTCAGTTTCCTCTCCCGCACCTGAATTACAAGGCAGTATATCGTCTCTGTGTATAGGCCTTTGTATTCTTAGAATCTCTTTCTCAGTCTCCAAATTGCCAGCTCAAGAATAAAATGCACTAGTTATTCCCAGGTTGTGAAAGTAGATAACTTATAAGTAGCAGAGGCTGGAGAAGAACTTGATGGCCCGCCAATAGCTTAGTGGTATGGTCTTCTAAATAGAATCTGCATATGCTGATATACACATAAAATAGTAGTCCATATTTTTGGAATATTTTCTTCTCTGGTTTTTAGGGTAAATTTCAAGGCTTCAAGGCATGTGTGACATAATCTTGATGTTTTTAAATGGCTTATTTTTAGTTTGTAAAAATCTTATACCAGTATATCATAGGAAATACAGAAAAGAAATAAAAAGAGTCATTGTCTCAATAGCCTAACCCTATCAGGGTCATCTCTTAGATCCTGTGTTATCGTCCACCCCCATCCCCAATGACCATAGGAAATAGGGATCAGAATCTCTTAGGTCTCTTCTTTGGGTCACTGTCCTATTTACTTTTTTGTTCATTGTATTTAATATCACCCTTGGATATAACAGAGTGTTTTTTTTGTTTTTTTTAAAATATATTTTATTGATTTTGTGCAGAGAGGAAGGAAGAGAGACAGAGAGTTAGAAACATCGATGAGAGAGTCATCGATCAGTTGCCTCTTGCACACCCCCTACTGGGGATATGCCCGCAACCAAGGTACATGCCCTTGACTGGAATCGAACCCGGGTCCCTTCAGTCCCCAAGCCGACGCTCTATCCATTGAGCTAAACCGGTTTTGGCAACATAGTGTTAATATTACAATAGACTTGGGTTCAGATAAGGACCTAGCAGCTATTGTGGGCCCTGTTGTCCCACAGATAACAATTATAAATTATGAACAAAATGCAAAAAAAAATAATAAAACAGAACCCAAAAACTATGAAGGCATTAGAGAAGAAACAAGAGCAGTAGATTGGGGGGTGGAACTGTTGATATTTGGAAGCAGGTAATTGCACTGAGGAAATTGTCCTTCCCCATTTGAAATTTTTTTTTTATTAAGATAAAATTGACATATAACAATGTGCAACTTTGCGGTGCACAGTGTGTCGGTTTGATATATTTATATATTGCACTGTAACTGCAGTTGCATTAGCTAGCACCTTAATGTCACATTAAGACAATATGTTGAGAACCATTGTGATCTTGTCTCTTAGCAGCTTTGAAGTTTATAATATAGTATTGTTGACTATAATCAGGAAATTTCCTGTTTTTATTGGCCTTTAGCTTATAGGCCCTTCCAAGTCTGCTCTATGTTGGGCTCCTAAATTGGGATCGAAAATCTCTAATTCCCAGAAGGCAGAGTTTGGGGGCAGTCATGGCAATAGAATTGACAAAATGACGGAAGAAATCTGGAAAGGAAGAGAACCATGGAGGAGGTGGGGGGCCTATATTTAAACTTTCTCAGTATCTGGTTGACTCCTAAGTCATATGTACACTCTGAGCAGCCCAGCTAAGTCTAAAAGAAATAAACAGAGCTCACCTGCTGCCTCCTGTATGGGAGAAGTTTGCAGTTTGGGTTTAGTCAACCTAACTCCACTAGGAAAAAAAAGTGGGGGAGGGTTGGAGGAATGATATTCTTTGGAGGAACATAACGGAACTCAGTTTCTACAGTATATAATCTTCTATGTCTAGATAATAGGAGAATGTGATTTGTCCTCAACAAAAGTGAAAAAATGTAAAATGAAAAGAGCAAAACAACATACCACCACCCAGATGTTGGAGTTAGCAGAGGCGATTATAAAGTAGCTAGTATACTTACACTCAAGGATGTGAAGGAAAATATGCTGGTAATGAATTAAAATATAAGAAATGTTAGTAGAGAATTGGAAGCTTTATTATAAAAGGAACAAAGTTCTATAATAGAAAAATATGTAATCCGAAATAAAATTCACTGTTTAGCCTTAAGATCAAATTAGAGATACTGGAAGAAAGCCATGAAAATGGAAAACAGATCAGTAGGAGTATATAAAAAAACAGGTTAGTGGCTTTCATACATTTTTAGTGGTGACTCAGAGTACAAAGTAAATTTTTCATTGACTTTGCATGCACAGGCACACACACACAAAACTGAAGCTGTGTTGTCTGTGGTTGATCCTGATGCTTACTCTTCTGTTTTCATTTTTTAAAATAAAGCCGTTCACAAATCACTAAGTTGATTTTAGCCCTACAAATGGTCTGGGAACCACAGTTTCAGAAATACTAGAATAAACTTTAAAGACTGAAACGATATCTCTTGTGTATTAAGGTGGGAGCCAAATGGGATAGCATAGTGGTAGCTGATTACCTGCTTGCTTTCTAGCCAGAATGACTTTCCTGTCCCCAACCCATTTAGCAGAAGGCCATGTTCTGTTCCGTACCACTTTGTAGGGGAAGTGGGCCTGGGGTGGGTGAAGATATACCCAGCCAAGCAGTCGTGAAAAGTGTGGAGTTCTTTGTCTGAACAATTGAAGATTATGGCTGGCTTTGTGCTCTCTGAGCCAGCTGGTAATACTTTAACTCCCTTTGCTACTAAGGGAGAAGCCACTAGCTATTAGTGACTCATAGCCACATTGCCATGCCTCCAGCCCAGGATAGAATTGCACAGTTCTGTAGAAGGAAGGTGGGGGAAAGTTTTTATATGTTGCTGTATCAGATGGAAGAGGCTGTTGTCTTAATTAGACTTGATAGGTTAACTCGCCAGATATGATAATGTTTCTTCACTTAATAGGTCTGTAGAGCCTCTCTTAACACATTGTGGACAGGGCATGAGAATTCTCGTTTCATATTACACAGTGTTTTCCAAAGTATCGTACTTTAAAAGATAGTAGCTTGTGAGAATATGTAATAAATAACCTCAAAATGCAATGGGTATTTAATTTTAAAGTGTGCCTTTAACATTTAAATAAAATGTTTTTTGTACTCTTTCAATAGAAACTTAATCTGGCCACTGGGTAAAGCTAGCAATAAAACTACTGTCCACAATGTGTGAAGTACCAAGCAGAGCTTGGCATTAGGTATATAGACATAAGTAAGACTTGTTTCCGGCTTCATAAGCTCACATAGGTGAAGACAGATTTTTATTCATGATGAAATTATGCTCATTAACCCGTTCAGCTATTAACCAGCCTGTGAACCTTGTGTTCAAGTTCCTACACTTACCTGGGCCTGTTACCCTCTGTTAGAGGCTGGGCTCAGCCATGGTTCACATGGGAAGCCACAGATGGCAAAGGTGGAGTCTCCGAGCCAAACAGTTGATGGATTCATCTGCTGAAAATGTTAAGCTCTTTTGCTGCTGATACTGAGGTCAGGGTGGAGGCCAGACAAGCACTAGGTCCCTTTTTTAAGTGATGCTCCTGGATTTGTGTCATTCCAGCAATGTTGTGGAAAAGTGTGTCACCCATGCCTCCCGTACGGAGCGTGCTGTGCTCATCGATGAGGTCTGCACCATGAACGACGGTCCCCACAGTGCCTTATACACCATGATGAAGGACCAGTATGCCAACTACGTGGTCCAGAAGATGATCGATGTGGCAGAGCCAGCCCAGCGGAAGATAGTCATGCATAAGGTAGGCCAGGCTGGGCAGATCGCAGTCAGAGGGGAAATGTGTAAGGCCTCGGGTTCTCATATTTCTGAAATCAGAGGAGGTCGGAAGAGCTATGTCTCATGCTGTGCTCCTTTTTCCTTTGATCTGAAGTGGCCATTGTCCCATTGTTCCTTTTATCAGTAACTTACTGTTGTGAACGAATCTTAAACTCAGTCCTAGGGAGGGATTTCCCTCCCTGATTTTAGGCCATGCTTTCATCCATTTGCTCCTGGGAGACCAACTTCTCAGTCCAACACATCAGCCTGCCTGCCTCATTTCCTTTCTCCCTCCTTTCTTATTTATTCACCCACCACCATTTACCGGCCGAGTGCCTGCCCCTCGGACCTATGCCCACTTTGTGCCAGACACCAGCACAGAGATGACCAAGATGATCCTTGCCCTCAGAGCACAGTTTGGGAAGAGCGATGGAAAGCAGGGATGACAGCACATGCCCCGAGTCCTTGAAGGAAGGTTTTTTGTTTGTTTTTGTTTTGTTTTTTTAACCTGAGTATAGTCTTAAAATATATATATATATATATATTTTAAGAGAAAGGGAGAGGGAGAGAGTTAGAAACATTGATAAGAGAGAAACATCAATCAGCTGCCTCCTGCACACCCCCTACTGGGGATGTGCCCGCAACCAAGGTACATGCCCTTGACCGGAATCAAAGCTGGGGCCCATGAGTCCGCAGGCCGACGCTTTATCCACTCAGCCAAACTGGCCAGGACAATCTTTTTTTTTAAATTGATTTTTAGAGAGAGTGGAAGGGGATGAGGGGAGTGCAAGAGAGAGGAAGAGAGAAACAATGATGTGAAAGAGATGCATTGTTTGGTTGCCTCCTTCAAGCACCCTGACTGGGGCTGGGGATTGAACCTGCAACCCAAGGACGTGCCTAGGCTGGGGATCGAATCCAGTTCTTTGGTATATAGACTCTAACCACTGAGACACTGGTCAGAAATCTAAAGTGTTGGGTCCTGTGAGTGGGAGCTGACCGAGAAAGCACCTGCAGAGGCCAGTGGTTCAGGAACAGTCACAGAGCAGGCCCGCCAGCCCCACAGAGACCACAGGGCCCAGGCAGCCACACTAACCCCCAGGTAGGGGCGCTACGGCTGCGCTTGTGCTGCAAGCCTTGGGGTGCCTCTGGTCTGGACCCTCAGCCTTTGGACTGTGAACTCACTCAGCCCTTCTCAGTGGAGGGGGGTGCCCTGGTCTGGCAGTGATGAGCCACTTGCCCTCACTGAGAACAAAGTTCAGTGGCGAGAATCTTTGTTTTGGACTCGAGTTCTGAGCCAGACGAAGCACCCTCCTCCTCCAGTTCAAAGCAGAACAAAACACAACGCCGTATTGGTGTTGGTGACGGCAGTTGGAGGCGGGGGAGTCCAAAGTCCTTATGCTGTGAGGCTCCTAGAAATTTGGGGTAAGAGGCTGGTGAAGGCGGAATATAGGAAATATGCAGAAATTTAAAACATGTCCACTCACTCAACAAAGACTCACGAAGCACAGACTCCATGTATGTACTTCATGTCGCTCTCTTGGTGAGAACGATAGTGTTAGCTCACATGGTCTGCTGGGGAATGTGGGGAGGGCGGTGTGACGGTGGGGCACAGAGGGGCCTCTTCTAACGTGGGGCACAGAGATGGTTCCCCAAGAGAGTGACCTTTCAGTAATGTCGCTCTCAAGGCCGAGGGAACCTAGGTTGTGAAGGTTTGGAAGCAGGAGACAGGACAGAATATTTCACGCAGTCAGGCACGTTCATTAGGGCAGGACTGTGGTGCCAGAGTCACATTTACATTTCAAATCACTGTCCTGGCTGGTGAGGACCACGGGGCATGGGAAGCTGAGGAGGCTGGGTGGGAGGCTGTTAAATAGTTAAGCCAAGAGCCAATCAAACCTGTCTCCCAGACTAACAGGTAGAACGTTTTCTGGACATCCGAGCTCCCCCAGAGTTTCCAGAGTCCTAGCTCAAGCCCCTGCAGCTCTGTGGGGGCCGAGCTTGGAAGGACGTTCTGAGTGATTAGTGGTGTATGTAGCAGGCCAACAATTGCACGTTGGAAGCCGTTCAGAATACATAAAACGCAAACAGCAAAAGCCACCAGGGAAGTGATCTGAGCCATCTATCCACAGTCTAGAAGAAATTAGTTAACAAAGCCAAATAAAAACGGAATTTTCTAAAAAACGGAAAACACAGAAAAGGTTAAGCCAAGAGGTGGAGGCGGCTTTGGGATTGAAGAGAAGTGGATGGAAGGCGGGTTAGCGGTTAAGTGGGTTGAGGAAGTTGAGAGAAGAGGAAGAGAATCTAAAAATCTAAGCGGTTTGAGCTCTTTCGCTGCTAAGCTCTATCCTCTGTAGCAGAGGAAGCATTGGGAATGGATCAGGTGATTAATTACTCTTCACCTCCCATTAAGTCAAGTGAAAAATGAGTTCCATAGTATTAACATGTGCGTGCTTACCCATGGCGGTTAGTGTTTTTGTCCTGATAGGGAGAGGTGTAAAGGTTAAGTGGCTGAGCTCATTAGTCATCCAGTCCCAGGGAGAGTAGGGGGTGAGTTGGAAATACTAATGAATAAAAGCATTAGCACGCACACAGTCCTCACTATATCCCAAATGAAAGGGAAGCAGCATAGATTTTTTTTTTTTTTTTTAACAGATGAGTCTAGGGATGCTAGGTAGATGTCTGGGTTGCACAGCTCAGGATTCAAGCCAAGGACTATTATGAGTAAGTTTTCCTCATAGGCTTCTCGGTGAGAATGCCATAGCTGCTACAGGTCTGTCTCCTTTGTGGGCTGCAGAAGTGATTTCTAGGGCTACTTAACCCTTCCTTGCTTTGAGGACACAGATAAAGAGACTGTCCTCAGGAGACTCTCTCAATCTAGAGAGCTTGTCCATGTGTTTGAGGACGAAGTATGGAATGCAGTGCGTGTGCGAGGCTGGATGGTCCAATAAGTGGTTGTGAGCACACTGGGTGACATGCTCACTGACGTATAGACAACTCCATGAGCTCACAGAGGAAAGGTGGTTCCAGCAAAGGTGGCTCTTTCTGCTTGTGTGGGATGCACAGTAATTCTCCACGTGGACCTGCCCTGGCGGGGAGACAGGAGAACGCGGAGAGCTGAGCCCAGCTGGGCTTGCAGCGGGTGAAGGATGAGGCTGGTGCAGGAGGCAGTGCCATGAGAGCACAGGGCAGAGAAACAATTTCTGGAGGAGCCAGGGAGTTGGGCTCAAATGCCTTGCCATGCCTTGTTAGCGTTTGACTTTGGATGAGTGACTTCACCACTAGGCCTTCATCTTTCTCGTCAATAAAATGGAGATAATCATACCTCCCTCAGGAGGCTTTCAGGAACCAACCTGGCTCACGTGAATCATTTTTCATTGTCGATAGTAGCTTTCTGCGATCCTCTGTGGACTGGAGGGCAGGATTAGGTGGCGAGCTTAGGACCCGAGGTGCCCTGAAAGCCCCCCTCTCAGAGGGCTGAGAGCTGCCTCGGGAAGGCTCAGTGCAGTGGGGTGGGGCAGTGAGCAGTGTGACTGTCAGTGAGGATGTCCTTTCTGCACATACTGTCCTGGGTGGGGTTCGTGGCTGTTCAGTCTCCAAAACCCTCACATACTGCATCAGCGCTCAGGATACATGCTGACTCTCCTCTGAGGGGCTAGCGGGGCCCTAGAATTCGGTGTTCTGGCTGCACCGGTGAGAGGTGTTGCTGTGGCCTGGCATTTGCAGTGTCCGGAAGCATTCCTGGGAGCATGCCCAATTCTGCTTCCAGTCCAGAGTGACAAAACTGTGCTTCCTCCCTAGATCCGGCCCCACATCGCGACTCTTCGCAAGTACACGTATGGCAAGCACATCCTGGCCAAGCTGGAGAAGTACTACATGAAGAATGGCGTCGACTTAGGGCCCATCTGTGGCCCCCCTAATGGTATTATCTGAAGCAGTGTCAGCCCTGTCCCCTCATTCCCACTGACCTCACTGGCCCACTGGCGAATCTAGCCAGCAACCACAGATGTTCTAATGTAGAATCTGGAATGGTAAATGGTTGCGCCAGGCTTACCCTCCAAAAACAGAATCAAATCCACAAGTGGAAACGCCTTTGTAAATTTGTTTAATTTTATTACACATAACGTACTAATTATTTTTTTTAATTGACTAATTGCCCTGTTGTTTTACTGGTGTATAGGATACTTGTACATAGGTAACCAATGTACATGGGAGGCCACATATTTTGTTCAACGTTGTATCTATATTCCACATGTGGAAACTTTCAGGGTAGTTGGTTTAACAAAAAAAGTTTAAAAAAACACAGAAAAAAGGTTTTTAACTCATTTGCCTTGCTGGCAAGTTTTGCAAATAGCTCTCCCCCACCTCCTCATTTTAGTAAAAAACAAAAACAAACAAAAAAACCTGGGAAGTTTGAATTTTAGTTAAATGAGCCCAACCTGACATTTAACACTGTTTATAAAATATACATATATATACATATATATATAATGAAAATTGTTTCAGAGTTGCTAAAGCTTCATTTTATGACATTAAGTTTATGAAACGTCCAAAATTGCCTTTTTTGGAGACTATTATGCTGAAGAAGATGGTGTAGTCTGTTTTGTGATGAGGAGACATGAACTCCCAGAATGTCTTTCAAGGCCGGGCGGGTGTAATTGTTTACTGCCTGTTGGATTTTTCTTTTAACATTGAAAGGCAAAATCTTGATTATTTAGCATGAGAAAAAAAAATCCAACTCTGCTTTTGGTCTTGCTTCTATAAATATATAGTGTATACTTGGTGTAGACTTTGCATATATACAAATTTGTAGTATTTTCTTGTTTTGATGTCTAATCTGTATCTATAATGTACCCTAGTAGTCGAACATACTTTTGATTGTACAATTGTACATTTGTATACCTGTAATGTAAATGTGGAGAAGTTTGAATCAACATAAACACGTTTTTTGGTATGAAAAGAGAATTAGCCAGCCCTGTGCATTCAGTGTATATTCACACCTTTTATGGTCGTAGCATATAGTGTTGTATATTGTAAATTGTAATTTCAACCAGAAGTAAATTTTTTCTTTTGAAGGAATAAATGTTCTTTATACAGCCTAGTTACATGTTTAAAAAGGAAAAAAAGTAGCTTGGTTTTATTTGTCACCTAGTCAGACTGTAGCGGGATCCTTTCTAAATGTTACTTAAGATGATTCAGTTCACAGTAGTGTTTTTTTTAATCCTAAAAAGTAATGTTTTGCTTATTTTGTGACAGTCAAAAGGACGTGCAAAGTTCGGCCCTGCCCCAGCTTTCCTTACAATCAGAGCCCTCTCACCTTGTAAAGTGTGAACTGCCCTTCCTTTTTGTACAGAAGATGAACTGTATTTTGCATTTTGTCTACTTGTAAGTGAATGTAACATACTGTCAAATTTCCTTGTTTGAATATAGAATTGTAACACTAAACGGTGTACATTTCCAGAGCCTTGTGTATATTTCCAATGAACTTTTTTGCAAGCACACTTGTAACCATATGTGTATAATTAACAAACCTGTGTATGCTTATGCCTGGGCAACTATTTTTTGTAACTCTTGTGTAGATTGTCTCTAAACAATGTGTGATCTTTATTTTGAAAAATACAGAACTTTGGAATCTGAGTCTGTGCTCTTAACTTCTTTCTCTAATATAGTTCCCCAGGACAGCCCTGTGGTTGTTTGTGCCTCTTTCTTCCTGCTTGTTTTGTGAGGGAACAAGAGTGGGAGGGGAAAGGACTTGAAATAGGGACAGGATGTCAAACTGGTTCTTGAGCCCAGTTTGACCCAGAGATGTTGGGTTTAGCCTGCTGAGTGCTTTCAAAACCAAGACGCTCCACATTATTCCAGATTTCCATCTTCTACTGAGCACTCAGAATATTCGCCTCCCTGGGCCGGCGTCCGCACCCACCACTGGAAGCACCATCAGAAAGCCTGTGCCCTGCTGCTTGCCCCGTTCCCTCTGGTGATCACTGCTTCCTCCTGGCCTCCCAGGGTCCAGATTACGGTGCAGTCAGATGCAAATGTGCCAACTGAGTGAAGTGTTGGGGACCTGCTTCGCTGAGGCAGGGCTGTAGGTGAGGCTTCTGGATGGCTGCCCAGGCCCCCCATCTCTGAGCCCCTTCCCCTCCGGCTGCTCCCGTGCTCACCCTGCCCACCACACCCACATGCTGAGGCTGGTGCAGGCTGGCCCAGTATCCTAGCTTGCTCAACTTATCCTCCAATTGGGGACCTTTTCCAGCTCTTAGTAGAGGAGGCTCTGGGTCACTAAGGTGACTGTCACCTGTGCCTAAGGGTGCCCACCTTCCCTCGACTGCCACGTGGCTTTAGCAAAAACTGCCACCGAAACACTGGTCTTTGTTGGCCATGACAGGATCAGGAAGGCCAGTGGGGAGCCATGTGGCCTCATGTCCGGAAGTGGAGCCTCAGGGTGGAAGCTTAAGATCACTGAGTAAGGGAGGGTCTCTAACAGGAATAGATGGAAGCTGAGGTCTTTCCCCCAGCCTTCCGCTGAGGTGGTAGTGGGCCCACCAGAGAGCATGCTGGGGTATTGCCGACGGTGGCTCGAATCAGACTGGGTTCCAGTATGCGTCCAATCCCCTCTCACGTGCCCTTGGGTGCACGCTCCTCTTTAACCAGATTCCTTGCTGGAAATGGGTTGAAGGTGAAAATATATGCAAAGTGGCTCTCCCATCACGTCATGGAAAGTCGTGGCTACTAAAGAATGGTTTTACTAGACCTGTGCGGAAGCCGCTGAGCAAGTAGGGGCTTGGGTTTCTCCCCATCTGCCTCCTGTCGAGCTGTTTCCTCTAAGGCTGCAGGGATGCCTCCCGGCGCTGTGGTGGGACAGAATTGTCAATAAACGCCAACTGCCTGGCACGCAGTAGGCATTCCCGGGCTGGTTTTCTCTTCCACCTGGACTGTTTATGCATAACATGGGTGGTGGTTGTTTTTTTAAACAAAAATATCCTTAATACTCTTAGCATGGAATGAAATGTTTCATTTCTGTGGGGTTTTTTAGTGGCAACAAAGCAAGATATGCACTTAGAAAGAGGATCATTCCCTTAACCCTTATTGGAAGCCCGTATCCTGGCAGGCTTTTCAGTCGGATAAATACAGGGTGTGGTTGCAACTGCCTTTTGTTACCTGGATCGTCTTTCTGAGGCCGTTTGCTTCTCTGCAAAAGGAGGGAAGTAAATCAGAGTACCAATGCCAAAGTTTGGTTTTAAGGATGAAGTCACGTCCAGCGTGGAGCCCGCCCCCATGTAATAAATGAATGCATTTATCATCTTTCACCGTCAGCACCAGGCTTTGGTGAGAAGCACAATCCTTGTCCATGATGTAAAGAAGTTACCATAAAGTCACTTGTCTTGAACCAACTCTGCCAGGCACCTAAAGAGGTGGTTTATAGATATTTTTAAAAAAAAAATTAGATTTGAGCCGAAACCGATTTGGCTCAGTGGATAGAGCGTCGACTTGCGGACTGAAGGGTCCCAGGTCCCATTCAGGTCAAGGGCATGTACCTTGGTGGCGGGCACATCCCTAGTAGGGGGTGTGCAAGAGGCAGCTGATTGATGTTTCTAACTCTCCCTCTCCCTCTCTGTAAAAAATCAATAAATGTATTTTTAAAAAATTAGATTTGATTTTTCCCCATCATCATTAATCCCCCCTCTACCTTTTCTATCTCCCTCCACTTCTCTCTCCTCCCTTCCCCCTGTTGTCTGTTCATGAGTTCTTTCTCTTTTTTACTACTGTCCCCTCCCCCCAATACATATCCTTTTATTCACAACAGTCCTGCAGGAATGTGGTTCCCCCCCACCCAATTTCATAGATATGCAGGCCAGTTCTGGGTTCTGATGGATCAGACCCAACTCTGGGCCTGAGGCTTCCCCCGTGGGGCACGCCCCTCCCTCTGCAGGATTGAGTTTTGCAGAGCAGGCTGAACTCAGCTCAGCACCCGCTTCCTCATTTGACTGGTCACTGCTGTCCACTGCCACCAACTCTGCTCAAGGATGTGGGTACTGGGCTGCCACCAACGAATGCCTGCATTCTTGGTCTCCCTTGCAGAGTCCCCCCCAAGATAGATTCCCCACAGTTTAAACAATCCTTTACCTGGTCAGTGCTTTACAGAGCACATGCACAGAGTCCTCTGACCCTCACGAAAGCCTGGCAGAGCAAGGTAGCATGAAGTTATCAGTCCATCACACAGGTGAGAAGTTTGAGACACGAGTCACTAACCAAGTAAAGGTTTATCTGAGGGATCCTGCCTCCAAGGCCAGTGCTCTATCCAACTCATCGTACTCGTGCCCCCTCCATCAGCCCCAGGAATAACAGTCTCTCTTTATTGGGTGTTGGGTTTCAGGTGTGTGTGTGAAGTGCTGGAGAGAGAAGCATTTGGGGGCGGGAAACCTGTGGTTACCGGCTATAACCACAGGAGGGTGCTGCTGCCTAAAGAAAGCTTTATGCACAGCGACCTAAGGGCTCAAGGTAACAGGCCAGGGCTGAGATGGCTTTCCCAGAGACCAGAGGTCTGGCATCTACCCTAAGACTAACCTACCCCCCTTTTCTCCTCCATCCTCCACAGCTGCTCCTGGGCGTAGGGCTAGTCCCTCACTCTGGCTTGGGATGGTCACAGATCTGGCTCAGACCCTAACTTTGCCTTTGTCACCTCTGGCAAATCACTGGCTTCTCCATTTCTCCAACTGCTACCCACTCCAAGTAGCCCAGCCCTCCCACCGTCTCAGGGCTGGTGTGAGGCCAGACGGTCGGGTCAGGGCTCTGTTAATGTGACCCGAGTCCTGCTGATTCTTGCCGGGCCACGTCCCTATCTCATGCACCAAGCTTGCAAACAGCCAAAACCACCAGGTCTTTTCAGCACGGATAGCTGCCTCGCCTCAGCTCCCAGCTCCACGGGCTCCAGG